ATACAAAAAATTATCATTGACTAACGAAATATACTAAATCGTTATTACTATCGACATATTAAATCTATTATTAAAATGTTACGAAATACAATTAATAATCTATTGATGTCAATTCAATATTGAAGAATAACTATTATTAGTATATTTAAGTAGTTCAACATGCCACATATTAAAAAGTTACACATTCTCCTAAAATAACTTAAACAATATAGATATAATTAAATCAATAGTGATCTCTAACAAAAAAATAAAACTATTCAAACAACATGGATATAAAATCATTTATTCCTAATATGATATTGTGTATTCGGTCATTTTTATAATTTTTTAAAAATTTAATAAGACTTTTGGACAAAGTTGTGTGTCTCGACTCGTGGAATCCCTATGTAAATACACTTGTCACATAAGTGTATCTCTCTTCACTCGTCAGCTACTTAGCGGCTCAGCCATCACGACTTGCAAGCTCTTGGAACATGATGGACTTGTTTCTTGACATTTGTACATTACTCATTAGTCATTAAGGTTAGCGTAGTAGAAGCCGATAAGGTTATAGTGGGTTTGAGAAATTGGACCTTTATTTTTGTATTTTTGTATTTGTAATCAACTTAAGTATTAATTTTGGGCTTTAAAATTGTAATGGATTTCTACAATATATTAGAATTAAAAGTAATTGTTGAGTAGAGAGTCGGTACGGTATTATACCGGTATACCGCGGTATTTGAAAACATTTACCGTTACCGTACCGAAATAGATCGGTACGGTATCTTACCGTACCGAAAATGACGGTATACCAATATTTCGGTATTTTCCGGTATTTTTCGGTACGGTAAGTGCGGTATACCAATATTTCGGTATTTTTGCCCACCCCTATTATTGAGTATACCATTAACTTATTTTTTTGTTGACCTTTTTCAAAATCTTACAAGTATGTTTTATAATAACAAGTAAATAAAATGTGACTTTGACTGTATTGATACAGAGTATTAATATGAGAGAGAGTGAGAATTAGAGAGAGAAAGTGAGGAATTAATATTTTTTCCTTTTCAATTAAATCTCTCTACTTTTCAAAAAAAAAAACAATCAAACTCTCCAACTGAAAATTCATTCATCAATCAAACTCTTAAACTCATTAAAAATGGAAAATCACTCTTTTTGACCGGTGATAAACCGTCTTAACCGACTGTTTATCCCTTTTTCCCATTTTTTTTCTTTTTTCTTCTATTTTCCTTCTCCTCCGCCCTTCTCCTTCCACCCTCCTGTTCCAGCTTTGTTACTTTTTTTCCTTTCCTGTCAATTTCTTCCTCACACGTTCCCTTCTCTTTCCCTAGTTCTCTGCTAGCTTCCATGATTTTCATTTTCTTTGTTTTCTATTGACTTTATTTCTTTTCCTTCCCTCTTTCTTCCCTGGTTATTTTCTTCTTCCCCTGGATTGAAACTTGGTTTTTTTCTGGCTTGAATTCCCAACCCGACGCTGCAGCTTCCTTCTTGAACAACCAACATTGCAACCCAAATTCACTGTCAAGGCGTCGACCGTTGCTCCCATCTCCCAGAACCTCCCCAACGCAAGCCAAATAATAAATTTAGATGATTTTGAACCTTTGATTTAACTTGGGTTTCCCGGCTTAAATTCCGATAGTTGAAGCTTAGAGACCCGACTTCAATTCGAGATTCCAACAAGATTCCAGCATCGATGGCAACCGACGGTTTTTCAGGGCTCCGAATTGCATCTGTGAAGGCGCTGCTTGACATCTTGGAGGGGAGAGCGCGTGGGTGCATCACCGCGGATGGGCCAGTGAGATAGCGTCAACGATGAGGACTTCTTCTGGTTAGCCACGGCGGTGCGCCCATCTGCTCAGCCATGTCGGTGCATCCATCAGTCGGTTACGCAGAACGATGATCCATCTGGTAACACGGTTTATTACCGGTTAAAAAGAGTGATTTGCCATTTTTTAGTGAGTTTGAGGGTTTGATTGAATCAATTTTCAGTTGAGGGGTTTAATTGATTTTTTTGAAAAGTAGAAGAGCTTATTCGATAGTTTTCCCTTAATTAGGAGGTGTTTGGAACTGATTCTACTTCTGCTTCTTTTAAAGCAGAAGCAGAATCAGTTTTCAGAAGTCGGTACCTACCAGCTTCTAAAAAACTTATTCTGTGAATTAGAGCACTAGAAGTGCTTCTGAAATTTCAGCGAAACACTTCAGCTTCTGTTTCTTCTCCCTGAAAGAGCAGAATCAATTTTGAGAATCAGATGCAAACACCCCCCTTAATCTATCTTCTATCTATAATAATACTACCTCCGCCCCTTAAAGTTTTGTCAAGTTTGATTGTCACACAAAATAATAAAATAAAAATTGTATGATTAAAATTTGTGCAGAGAGAGAAATAACTAGAAACACAATATAATTGATTAAAAGGGAATGTAACAAAGTTTTTTGGGACATCTTTAAAAGGAAAGATGACAAAGTTTTAAGTAATGGATGATATAGTGTAACAAGCGAGATTGGGTTTATATTTGGTAATTAAGTTTCCCTCCCAATCAAATACTACGTATAAAATATGTCTCATATAATTATATTAATTAATCTATAATAATAAATTATAATAGGAAAACAATTACAAGAGCAAGAAATGCATCTCTCTATAACAATAATGTAATAAAGCAAATTCTCAATATAATGTCATTTTGGCCATACAATAAGTGTCGTCTTATACGATATCTCAAATTCTCGCTATCTAGCAATAATGTCATTTTGGCCATAAAATAAGCGTCGTCTTATACGATATTATATATCTTGATGAACATTTTGTTATACGGAGTATATATTGACTAAGCTAGTAAAAAAACGGTAAAAAATGTCATCTACTATAGCATTTAAAGTGTCAATTCAATTCAATTGGTAAGGGCATCTCCATCCATAGATTATTTTTGGGATCATTTTGATGATGTGGAGGATTTTTTTGGTATCATGGATGAGGAGTTGAGATTAATTTATGAGATTATTTGATAAAATAATCTGGTATCAAATTCCAAAAATGGATTATTTTGAGATTATTTCCAACTATTAGACTCCTTTCTCCATTTTCTAGGCATATACTCATAATTAAGGTGATGACTAGCTAGCTTTGTAGAGATTTTAAAATTGAGTACATGTCTCATAAAAAATCTAGGTAAATTAAGATCAAGGATGGGGAGAAATTGATAGGTTTGGAGATTATTTGAGATAATCTTATGTGAAAGTGACATGACAATAAGAAAGCAGTATCTTACATATACGGTAGTATATGCTATGCACAATGCATGAACGCGTACGTACACAAATGTGAAACTCTAACAAATATTTCTTGTGATTTGGTGTCTGCTTGTAGGTGGAAGCTATTAGGGAATTGTTTTAAATGTGATGAAGGCTGCTGGGACTAAAGCAAGTGATATGATATGATACCCGCACGGGTAGCTCAATTGGTTGAGTGGTGGGAAATTGGATCAAGAAATCCAGGTTCGAGTCTTCGTAGCGACCGTGTGGAGGCCACAACCTCTGAAATGGCGCACATGGGCATATGGGCCTACTACTCCGCCGACTGACTCACCGTGACTTACATCCTCCCATCTGTCTTGTCGGGTCGGGGCGTGAGGGGCTCTGGGGGTGGGAGATTCCACCTTTTGGATCAAAGCGATATGATACGATGGCCTGTTAGAATTACATATAAAGTTTCACTATATGCATTCTAAGGATGTAAAATTCCTATCTCTATATCCCACTATATCTTACGTGGTCAAGCTCTTTACCCAATTAAGTATCACCATTCATTTTGAAAGGATTCTTAATGAGCTAACTTGTTCGTCAACCATTTAAGAAATGAATGTTATCTTTTTCATTAGATCTTGAGAGTTGAAACCAATATAATTCAACCGGCTATTCAATTATATTGCTTGTTCAATTTCTTATTTAATTTCCACATATATATGTGATCATGTGTGTATGGATTCTAGACCAACATCTTAGGTAGTCGATAAAGACTAATCTATTTGGGAACAATGACTAACATAGCATAAATTACCAGCACACCAACCCCCCTAAATTCCCCTCAATCTCTCCATACAACTCCTTACTACTCCTCTGCATCACTTCTAGCACATCATCTGAACTTGGCGACATTCATACATATAAACTGCCCAGTTAACTTCAAGAAATTATTTGAGTGTCTTTCCGATTGAATTTTTAGTTGAAATTGGTATGGATAAACTAGATTTCATGAAGAACATGCTCAAAAAATTTCATCAAAGAATTCCACCGGGAAGTGCCTGAAATGCCCTCGACCGGACGGAGCATCCCGTCAGGCCGGCCTCACATGAAGACTCTGACATGTTTTACTTAAACCTTCAATCCTACTTATTTGTCTATGTTGAATAAATCACACACGGTTTAAGAAAACATATAGAAGTTGAAATTTAATACTACGTATAAAGTATAAATAAAGTTTCCCTTAAAATTCCTTAATTAAAAACCATATTTGTGTAAATCATAGGGAAAAAGAGTGAACTGAATAGTGTCAAATTAAATATACAGGTTTGGTCAATGGAAAATTAAAAAGAAATCAGAAGAGTTGATCAAGATTTCTACAATTAGATCAGAGAAATAGAAGCTAATAAGCTAACTTATTTAGGACACTGTTTAGTTTTCCATGCATAAAGGCTACCCTAATTATTATATGATAATATGTGTTCAAAATCTGCATTTTTTTGAATTAATTATATTTATATTACTGCGTATACTAGTATATTCCAATCTACAGTCTACACTACATGCATGCACATATATATACCAGGAAAAATATACTAGTAAAAATTAAACTCTAATCCTGTGATAGAAATATTATCAGGGATCAATAAAAACTAACAAGGCATTATATATATATATCATTATATAACTACATTGAATTTTGATCGAGTTTCTAAGCTAATCATGATAATTCTAATTATCAATAGTAATTAATTAAATTCAAGAGCGAATATAAGGTTTAAGCAGTTCTCCAAGCCCAGACCCGAAATATGGATCACCCATTGACTCAATTTCTCTTCCACTCACAGTTGCACCGGCGAATTCCGAATCTTCTTGATGACCAAACCTTCCGCCGCCGCCGCCGCCGGCGGCCGTCATGCATTCTTTCTTCAATGGCCTTGGGTGAGAATCTTTTTCTTCTTCATCTTCTTCATTTTTATAATCAGGGGAATTCCGTTTCTTGCCTCTAACGGCCGTCGCGCGGCCGAAGTTCTCCTTTCCGGCGTCGAATATGGCTTTGGCGGCGGCGGGGTCGGGCGGCCAAGTCTCCGTCTTGCCGTCGGGGCCCACAATGACGACGGCGAGTTTGATGTTGCAGAGCGTTTCGAGCTCTCTTGTTTTCTTGATGATGGAAGCCGCCCTCCTCTCATAACGCATCTTCCTAAGCCTGTTCGCCATTGATCTTATCTTTCTCTCAGGCGAGTGATCGAATCAGTGGAGTTTCTAATTTCGGAATCCGCCTGAAAATTTTACCGTCTGGCGCCTTTTATTTTGGAAATTACAGTCCATAATTGACTGGAGCCCAAGCTTCAATATACATAAAATTTAATTTGGTCCAAATTAAATCTGAAATCGTATCTACATTTTGCGCTCTCTCTCTTTTTTATTAATTAATCAGCCTTTGGTTTATTTTCCTTACATTCTTTTTTGGAAGGCTTAGTAATTTTCTGTATCTTTCCGAATTTGTTAAGATTTTACGTATCCACTGTTTAATATCCCTCCTGTTTTCACCGCCTTTACTGGATAAATACTCCATAGGAAAAAAAATACTCCGTAGCAATTAAGGATGTTTTCTTTTGGACGGTTTTCAGTCCCAGACCAGATCAGACCAGACCAGACTTAAACAGACCAAACCAGACCAGACCAGACCAGACCAGACTTAAACAGACCAAACCAGACCAGACCAGACCAGACTTAAACTGACCAGACCAGACTTGGATAGTCATAAAATACACAGAGACCAGACGTTTACCAGACCAGACCAGTTCAGACCAGACCAGACCAGACTTAAACAGGCCAGACTTAAACAGGCCAGACCAGACCAGACCAGCAAATTTCAGTCCAAAAGAAAACATCCTAACAAAGCAATATTAAGAGATCAAACATTCAAATTGGTTGAATTCGTTTATTTTGTTGAATTAATGAAGTTCTTACTAGATTGATTGATTTTGCCGATTTATGAAAAAAAATATTTAAAATATTTTTTTATTAATAAAATAAAGGTTGACTGATTTTGCTTATTTATGAAAAATTATATTTTAAATATTGTTTATTAATAAAATAAAGAAAAACTTATATGGAAAAATAGCTAAAATGTTCCGTTACAGTAGCTTTAGTTAATACGGCCAAAAAGTTAACTTCAATCTTACTTTTTATTATTATTACGCAATTCGGCGCCCAAAAATGTTATTAGAAATACACCTAAGTGTTATGAGAATTGAGAAATACACCTGTATTATTTATGATTATGATTGAGAGCCAGTCCTATCTATTTTTGACTCTATGAGCGATATATTATTTTGGACTTATTTTCAAGACCGTCAATAAATTATACTTAGCTATAAAAGTAAGAATTATAATAAAAATATCTAATCAAGGTTATAAAATAAAAATGAAATTCATTTTGTTATTATTATTTAAATAAATTACATGTATGGGAACCAATAACAACACACGTATTACAAGAAAAACATTTCTCGTAGAACATTGTGAAGTGAAATTATCAATAATTGCTTCATAATCAATCTTTTCTAAGATCTAATACCCAATGCTTAAAATTGCTAATTCATTAATTTTTTTAAGACATAGTCGATCACAGATAATTGGAATGGGGTTTGGGAGTTGGAGGCACGTGATGCCCAAAGACAATAACATTGGTAATTTTGTAACTAAAAATATGTGAAGATACATATAGATATCATATGTGATTACTTACCACCAATTGTCCAGTTCTACCTAAAAAAACGAATTAAATGTATATTCTGCTTTTAAATTCAGACGATCGACTTCGATAAATACTTTTTACTTATGTTTTAAAATTTACAAATTGTCAACATAAATTATATATTAGGCCTAATTAATTAATTGAATTTATAAATAAAAAAGAAGCATACTCACATTAGATATAAAGAACAAAATTGGACCTAATTTTCTTTCAATTTTATTGAGCCTAGGGTCGGCGCCCCTGCTGTCCTCCCCCTAAGGCCGTCCCTAATTATGACTCAAATCATTTTGTCCATCCAGTCTGCTCTTAAACACGAACAGTTTGGAGATACGTAGTATAAGTTTACCTACTAGAATGGACTTCACCTGGAAAAAATGGCGGACTTGGAATGAGGTGTAGGCCTATTCGACTGAATAAACCCGACCCAATACATTTAATATTTGTGCCTTCAATTATTTGTTTTAATTTTATATTTCTCTTAAGTCCAACCCAATATAACATACTACATCTGTTCTGGATTAATAAAAAATGGCATGATTTTCTCGATAATAATTAAATGTTATGAATGGCTATATCTGAGAAGTGATTTGCTCATTTGAGTGGTTATATAATATATTGGGGTATAGTAATTGTGGTATACTAGGTGCATTATTTTTTAATATGTGATTATTAAATTGTCGTTAATTTTTTCCAAAAATAGAAATGAGAACCTTTATATAGAATATAAAGGTAAGTGAGAAACTCTACCTGGGATAAAGAGAGTATATTCTTGCACTTAGGGGTATTATTCAGCAACTAATTAATTATTAATTAATTAAAAGGGCTGAACTACAACAAAAATAAGACCACCTGCATATTTAGTTTTTAGTTATTTTTTGAAATGGTATATTAAAAACATTTATTTAGGTCGTTTTATTAAGAGTGTTTTGATTAGTTGTTTTCAATATTTTCACTAGTAGTTCAGACATCATCATTACACTATTAAAACTTGCTAGATTTGGTTGCCAGTTTGATTAGTTTTGAGGTGCACGCATTGAATTTGGATTTTGGACATGTGAATTGGAGGGCTTAAGGGTTATGAAAGTACACTTGCCCAAATAAGATCATCCCAGCAGCCCCCTGCCCTTAAATACAGATGAATTTGAACATATATATTTGTCTACTAAGACTGGACTGGCCAACAATAAAGGTGGGTACTTGGGAATAGTTGGGAATTGGGATTAGGTGTAGGCCCATTCAGGAACTCGGCCTTTGGCCTATTATGTTCAACTATCTGTTTTTTAACTCATAAGTCCAACCTGATATAAAATACTGTATATTCTAGTACATAAGGGTATTACTCGTTAACTAACTAACTAACTAACTAACTAACCAACATTAGAGCGCTAAACTAACATAAGTATTTCCAGATTGAATAATATAATTATACAATACAAGTTATCCACCTGGCAGACACAATGAAACTTCCTCAGATAGCTTCTTTAAGAAATGATGAGTCTGTCACAAAAGGTATATCAACACCCTAAAGACTAAAGGTATACTACCTCCGTCCCGATGGACTTTGCCAATTGCAAAGTTAGTGAGAAATAAGAATAGTAAAAATTGTGTGGTTGAGATTTGTGAAGATGAGAGAGAAATGTGCAGAACCACAAATTAGTTGCTTTAATAGGAAAGTGACAAAGTTTTTTGGGACAACCAAAAAGGGAAAGTTGACAAAGTCCAATGGGACGAAGGGAGTATATGTTTTCCTGTGAGGCTGTCAGTGAAATTGAGAAAGAGTTGGAGGTGAAGAGAAGGCATAAGCTAAATTGTAAAAAGCATAGTCTCATGGTAGATTAGTCAATACACAGCTTCGTAGGCTCGTAGCAAGGCCACAGCCTGCTCCTAATAATAACAAGATGGAAGTAATAGGCACGTAATGATATGAGGCAGAACGCTGGAAAAGCAAATAAGCAATTGCCAGGATCATTAATATTAGTACACCAAATAGCATCCTGGAGAGAACCTGAGCCTGACACTTCAGAGTCTGCAGTCCAGAACTCATGGATTGCATTGAATTTGGCATCCACTAAAACTTGGATACCTGAGATTCAAAGACGAATACATTTCATTAGTGGAGCAACAAAGAAACACCATTGCATTAGAAATACTACCTCTACAACTAATTGTGTCATGGGATCTCATCTTCTCCATATATTACTCTGTTTATGAAATACTTTATCTTATTTAGAGGACAAAAACATTTCAAACCATGAAATTTCCAGGCATATACATTAGATTAAAAGCAAAAATTTTGGGCACATCGTTTTTTGTGTCAAAGAATATGTCATCACCTTATTTTTCCGCTTGAAATGTGCGTTTCACTTGAATGACCCCAAGAAAGAACAAAAGGTTGGAAAAGGATAAAAATAGTGGCACAGGGATGGAAAAGAATCAAAATTGTTAAACAGAAAAAAATAAAGACTGTTTTGACTGGCAACAAAAAGAATAAGGAAGACCTTAATGGAACTTATCAATTATCAACACGTGAATTTACAAAAACAACAAATATGAACTCACTTAGGAATTTACAGCTTATAAATATGGAGTTTAAAAAGCTTCAAAACTAATTTTATAGAGGCAATAGAAACTTATTAGGTGCAGAGTGATATGGAATTCAAAACAAAACTTATTCGGTGCAGATTGAAATAATTTTCAATTAGAAACAAATATAGCACTTGAAAGAATTTATACAATAGTGTATTTGAAGAATAAGCATTTAGGGTTATATGATCATAAAATACCAAATCTATAAGCATAGCAAATTGAATGGATGGGAAAACTTCACTTTAAGAAGAAGGGGCTGAGGTTATATTTCATCCATGTACTTGAAAATTCAACCAGATTGATGAATGAAGCTAGTGTGTAACCTTACCATATGAACTAATGACCATAGGGAGATGAATTTGCAACACATGTTAATACTGTACGTGTAATGACTTTTAATAAGCATTCTTTCTGAAATGAACATGCCCAAAATAAACCATCAGAGAATATTGTACCTAGATTGAAATACAAAAAACTGAACTATTAAAGAGCATCATCGGACTAAAAACACTTCAGCGGCTTGAATGTTTTCTCAAATTAGAATAATATACCCCCATACAGGATGTAAAAACTTGTATTTCTTTTGTGTATACGATGCTGGAAGTTAGAAATGCATATATCCTTTGACAGCTCAAAAGAGTTACCTACTTACCTTATAGTTTTTCTGAGCAGTGTGATATATTTTCTGCAAATCAACAAAAGAGGATAAAAATACATCATCAATCAAAATAATTTTAAAAAATCCAGTATACTAACTTTAAATCTAAAAAGTAAATCAATTAGATCAAACACACCTTAATCACATAAGCTGCATAAGAACTCATTCAATTTTGTTGGAATAGAAAAGATTGATGTCACCATCACATTTAGGCATTCACCCAAGCCGCGTACAGTAGGAAAGATTTCCTATATTTCCAACAAACCTTAACTTAATTCTTGATATAGATATATGTTATATAAAATATAACTTATATCTGGGAATGCATTTATCCATCAAATTTATACTAAAGAAAGCAGGAACTCTGGATTTATCCATCAAATATACACTAAAGAAAAAAATCGAAATAAAAATGAGACAAAAATCTGCAAAATCAGTACCCTAACATACACATGTTAGGAAATCAGAGAATTGTTTGGATCCCTACCGATAAATTTTTAAGGAAAGAGAAGATTTTCAGTTTGGGGAAAATTCAGAGAAGCTGAGAGTGAATGCAGTTTGAGAATTTAGCGAAGCTGAGAGTGAATGAAGCTTACCTCAAATGAAAGTTACGAAATTTTTTTCTTCAACTAAGCATTTTATCAAACATTACATGTGCAAAATATAGAGAATACATATACCATTGAATCGGGTTATATGGCTGGGAGATTGAAGTAAATACTGGTCAAAATAGAAAGTGAACCTGGATTAATATGGAACCCATAGATGCATTGGGGAAGCTTTCGAAGACTAATTAAACGAAAAACTGGAAATGAATCCATGGCCACATATAGAAGTAAATTTGGCTACAATTCTACGAGAGTAGTTGGTACTACTCTTGTGTTAAAAGGGGGAAATCCAAGGAAGAAGTCAGAAAATGGAGAGGGGGTAAAGGGGTGAAGCCAGCCTTTGTCATCGCTGGTTGAGGACGATGAAGAAGCAGATAAAAGGCGGTGAAAATTGATGGTGATGGAAGGAAGGCAAAAAAAAGTGACAAGGCAAATCGGTGAAGGAAGTCTAAAATTGGAAAGGAGAGAAGGTCGGGGGAAGAGGTGAAGCCGAGAGATTTCACAGTAAGCTAAAAGAGGTTTCTATGTAGCATATGTCACATACAGAGCTTACATTCTCGAACTCAAGATGTTCTTCAGTTCCCTTTTCAGAACCACACCTGCTGTAGACCTTGGTATACATTCTATAAAGAAAACCTTTATGACTTTCTTGTATGGTGCTACCTGCCAGAAAAGTTTATCCTTGAGCTGTTATGGAACCAAAGATCCTCAGGCTAGTGCTTCTTCACTTTTGAGCACACACTAACTAATACACAATGGGGGGATAGAGACCTGTTTGGCTACAAAATAGATTACAGCTGTCGAGCACAGAGCGGTCATCTCTCTTGAACACAAAGGCCACTGGGATTTCCCCAGCTTCTTCATCAATGTCTCTAAACAATTTAACACTGTCATGAGCTTCATATACAAGACAACACAGTTCTATAATAGCATAAGTTAATTATAATAAGAAGAGATTGGAAGCTAAATGTGGATACTGACGTATGAGGTTACTGCAGCATCAATAATATCTGGATGAGACAACAATACAGCTTCTAAATCAGCAGGAGCAATCTGAAGATGACAGTATAGGCGTATAGCACAATGACAAAGATAGATTTCCAAATCTCAGTTTCACAGGGAATTCTTACAATTGTCATATTCCTAGATTTTTAGAACCTTAGATAGCTACAAACCTGGAACCCTTATATTTTATGACATCTTTCAAGCTGTCAACCACATAAAGATATCCATTTTCATCGAAGTAAACAATAACACCTGTGTGAAGCCAACCAACATCATCTATTGTAGACTTAATGGCCTCAACATTATTTACATACACTCCCTGAAAAACAAAATGCCGAAGTAAAAAGTTAAATTCTAAGAAAAAACAAACAAAAAATTATTTTGGTAAAGGAAATGAACCCAGTGAGAAATAAATATACCCTTGACAAAACATGTGGAAAGTTTTAAGCAAATGATTTTTTAGACAAAAGAAGTATAATTTGCAAAATTTACCTTTCATGACACCAGGACCATGTAGCCAGAGCTCACCAGTGCTGTTTGGAGGTGAGGATGAACCAATAATCCAATCAACAACTCTGGCTTCCATATTTGGTGACAGAAGTCCTACTGACGAGTAATTACGTAGCTTCTCGGTATGAAAAGCACGTGTTCCAAGAGCCGTGGAGGCGTGGACTCATGCCATAACCCTGAGACCAAATTGTATAACCAATGCTAGAAATACATTATAGGGCAAAAGATGTAACAGTTTATCCATGGGAACGAATTAAAACTGCACTGTATTTTGGTCTAGTTCTTAGTTTGTGCACCAAGTAGTTCTATTGTTTTTCACCTCCAGTATTTCTTTTTATTGAATGATGCATGTATCACACACATATATACGGTTATACACGCACGCACACGCACACACACATGTATTGTGGTCACAGTGACAATGGTGTTTCCTGTGCTGGTAGTATGAAATTTGAAGATTGCACTTTTGGTTCACCATGCTGCTATTTTAAGCTGTTCGAATGGTGTTTAGGAAATGAGAAGTGATATATGCGTGGTAGATACAGAAAGAGCAAAAACACTCAAAAAGATACTAAATCTTAACACTTAAATTACGATGTTCATATATGTACTCCGCTCAGCCGTGGGAACAAAAAAAAATTGTTCTGACGAAATTCAAAAGCCCATGAATAATGGTGTTTACATTTAAATCTTTACACCATTATCTAATAGAAAAGATATGTACTACTCCGTATTTACAATTTACTTTTCGTTTTCCAATTCAACCGAATCTTTTCACCATTTTTTTTGCTATTATATACTCCGTACTTCTTTTGCTATTATATACTCCGCATTTCTTTTGCCTATATATATTTATATTAAGATAGATAAGTCAGATGCTTCCTCCACTTGCAGCTCGAACTCATCAACCTCTTTGAAATAAGCCTTTTGTTTCTTCACAAAATCTTCAAACGAAGAATCTTCTGTACAAGACAGCTTCCCTGAACGCCTCTTCTGCAAACAAAATTAGTTAATCATTTAGCCAGTCAAGTATCAAGACACCACCACATACAGACACCCCTCTTTTTCTTATGGGTTCACACATTCTAGAATCCTGACCTTATACACATATGGGAGTCAGATGCAGTAAAAACCAAATGAGAATTTAAATACAATATTTTTTGCTTCTATAAACCTCTAAGTACCTTAGTTAACGTGTCAAAAGAAAGATTAGTATAACTGTATTAGTAAATTTCAGATGAAATAGATCTGAATATATTCAAGAGTGTGTAAGGGGTCCATTATGGCTTAAATTTGTGAAGATGCTGTAATACATTATGATTGATATTGAAGAAGTTGATGAGATTACTAAATTATGAAAAAAGGGTTATTTAAAATATGTTTTATTGCTACAACAAACGTGAACAGGGATATGGTGATCATCCTCAACAACTTGAGTCAAAAGAAGTACTTTCGATCCACTTTTATAATTAACCAATCTAACCAACCCAACCTATAAAATAGTTTTTGATGGAAAAAAAATTGATGTTGAGAAATAAGTGACTACTAGACCTCAACTAAAAGTCATTTTGGGCGTAAACAAGCAATAAATTATACTCCGTAAAAGTTATTCTGAAAGGGGAAACCGAAAAAACGAACAATTACCTATTTAGCAATGCATTTTATAGCACCAATTAGAAACATATACAAACAAATACAAAGCAACATTGTCTATAAATGGGTTTACAAATAATGATTGTTTACCTACCTTGGCATATTTTTTATTGGAATTAGTCGTGGATGATGCCGACTCTTCTGACATAGCTGGAAAAAAAGATAGAAATACAATTTTCTGAACAATAAAAAATTTTATTCGTTCACAAATCCTTTGATAATCCATGCAATACACAGAATTGCATATCCACAAGACCACAACAAAGCCTATTTGCTCTGAGCATAACCACATATTACCTCCCACTTATATACATTTGCATATCTGAAATAGAAAATTAACAAGTAGAGATAGACACAGAAGCACCAGTAAGGACAACTAAACATTTTTTTAATCCCAATGATGTCAAATAACATTTGAAAAGATGAATGAACAGAGGGTTACCTGAAGTGCTGTGGGGAGAATGGGATGGACTGAGAAGCTGAGCTTTAGTATGGACGGATATGGAGGAGCCTACACTGGTCTCGGCCGAGGAGGTGATTGGTCTGTCGGACGAGGAGGAGCGGTCAGTAGTTATTGTGAAGTGGGTGATTGGTCGGTCGGACGCGGTAGTTATTGTGAAATGGGTGATGTAAGAAAATGGCGGCCTGTCGGCCGCAGTGGCTCTAGCCATCTTCTCTAGACATCTTTCTCTAGACATCTTCCTAAGCCTGTTCGCCATTGATCGATCTCTCAGGTGAGTAGTGATCGAATCAGTTGAGTTTCTAATTTCGGAATCCGCCAGAAAATTTTACCCTCTGGGCTCTGGCGCCTTTTATTTTGAAATTACAGACCATAATTAATTGACTGGAGCCCAAATTAAATCCGAAATCGTATCTGCATTTTGCACTTTCTCTATTTTACTTTTCCAGTTTTCCTTATTGTTATACGACTCAGCACGCGAAATCAGAAGCTACATATTTGATAAAAAAAACTGATTAATAAGTTCAAATATAAAAGGGATGAAGGTAGTATTATTTATGACCACAGCCGACCATGCCTACTTTTGCGTCTATGGACGATACGTAGTACGGAGTATATCATTTTGGATTTATTTGCAAGACAGACAATAAATTATACTTATTAAAATAAGAATTATAATAAAACTATCTAATAAAGGTTATAACATAAAAATGAAATTCACTTTATTAATATTTAAATTACATATTTGAGCAAAAATAACAACACCGGTATCACAAGAATAACATTTCTAAAACATTTCACGTATGTAGAACATTGTGAAAGGAAATCATCAATAATTGCTTCATAATCAATCTTTTTGAGACATAGTCGATCACAAATAATTGGGATGGGAGTTGGGAGTTGGGAGGCACGGGTTGCCCAAAGACAATAACATTGGTAATTTTGTAATTAAAAGAAATAAAAATATTTAAATGCTAAAAAGATGTGAAGATACATATACAAGTACATATGTGATGGCTTACAACCAGATCTACCTAAAAATTAGAATTAAATGTATGTTCTTTTTTAAACTCGGATGAGCGACTTCGATCAGTACTTTGTACTTATGTTTTAAAATTTACAAATTGTCAACAAAAATTATACATTAGGCCTAATTAATAAATTGAATTTATAAATAAAAAAAGAAGCATACTCACATTACATATAAAGAAAAAAAAATGAGCCTAATTTTTTTCTATTTTTTCGGACCTAGGGTAGTTGCCCCTGCTGCGGTGCTGGCCTCACCCTAAGGGCGGCCCTGATTATGACTCAAATCATTTTGTCCATCTAGTCTGCTCTTAAACAGGAGCGATTTGGAGAAATATATTTCTATTGGAATGAACTTCACCAGCAAAAATGGCAGACTTGGAATGAGGTGTAGGCCTATTCAGGCCGCATAAGCCCGACTCAATACATTTAATATTTTAATGTGTGTGTCTTCAATTATTTGTTTTAATTTTATATTTCTCATAAGTCCAACCCAATATAACATGCTACACCTATTCTGGACTAAAAAAAATAGCATGATTTTTTTTATGATAATTAAATGTGATAAATGGCTGTATTTTGAGAAGTGATTTGAGTGGTGATATAATATATTGGGGTATAATAATTGTGATATAATAGGTGCATTATTTTCAAAAATAGAAATGAGAACCTTTATGAAATATTCATAAAAAGTAAGTGAGAAACTTTACCTGGGACAAAAAGAGTGCTCCGTATATTCTTGCACATGGGTTATTGTTCTGCAACTAATTAGTTATTAATTAATTAATTAGTTTAATTTTTAGTTATTTTTTTCAAATGGTATATTAAAAACATGGGGGGTTTGAATTTGCACCTCATTTTTTTAGTGATATTTTGCATCTTATTTTAAAAATCTTTGACTTTGCACCCAATCATACACATTTTGTGAAGAATTGTTTTTGAATGGGGTGCAAACTTAAAGGAGTTTTAAGTGAAATGGGATGTAAAGTCAAAGTCTTTTGAAAGTGGGGTGCAAAGTTCAATATCACCCAAAAAGTCAAATTCCTCCATTATTGAGATCGTTTTATGTAGAGCATGTTGATTAGTTGTTTTCATTGTTTTCATCAATAGTTCAAACTTCATTAAATTATTAAAGCTTGCTACATTTGGTTGGCAGTTTGATTAGTTTTCAGGTGCACCGATTGATCAAGCATGTGAATTGGAGGGCTTACGGGTTATGAAAGTAGACTTGCCCAAACAAAATTAGTTAATCATTTAGCCATTCAGGAATTAAGACACCACCACACACAAACATCCCTCTTTTTTCCTATGGGTTCACACATTCTCAAGTCAGATGCGATAAAATCAAATGAGAATTTAATTACAATAATTTTTGCTTCTATAAACCTTTAAGTATCTTAGTTAACGTATCAAAAAAAATGATTAGTCTAACTGTCTTAGTAAATTTCTGATAAAATAGCTCTGAATATATTCATGAATGTGTAAGGGGTCAATTGTGGCTTAAATTTGTGAAGATGCTCCACAAATTTGGGAGATATCCTGGTATTCTAAATCGGAGCACCACAAAGGTCGGTTTCTCAGCCCCCGTGATAGGGTGCTGAAATATGAGAGGCGCTAGAAATGAGGAACAATTGTTGATTGAGTCTTCATTTACTTATTAATTATTGTTTATTTTTTTAAATGAGTCGGTTGGAGAAATAAGTGGGGCTCGGTGTCATGCATAAGTCCACTAGGTAGTTATTAGATCATGGATCATTAGGTAGTTATTAGATCATGGATGGAGTCAGTTTATGTCAGTCATTAGTCGGTTATTAGTCAATTTTATTTCTTTCTCTATAAATAGCCTAGTCATATTCAAGGTAGGTATGCATGAATCAATATAATTTTCCCTTGGAGATTCTCCATTGGCTTCTACAATCACTCATCTGTGAGATACTTACTATGAGAAGAGAGTAGGAGAGTTTAATCACTCCATATCTTCCCTTTAAATGTCTGAACTTAATTACCACCCCATCTCATTCTTCTCACACCACTTCAGGTAACCCACACTTGGTACATCCATGTCTAATTATGGTAGTATACCTAGAATGATCTTTTCAAATGTTATTTTCAGTAATTAAGAATGATCAAATGTTTAGTTTCCCTTACTGGTGATTCATTATCTATCTCTACTTGTTTAATTTCTATTTCAGATATGCAAATGTATATATGTGGGCGTAATTGGTGGTTATGCTCAGAGTGAAAAAGCTCAGAGTGAAAAAGCTTTACTAGATGGATTATCAAAAGGATTGTGAAAAGAATAAAAAATTTCTCATAAAATTGGAGTTCTATCTTTATATTGTTACTAGTTTTTATGTCGCGCGTTGCGCGATAGAGAAGTGCCCAATAACATTTTACATCATGTACATGCGATAATACTCTAGCTTAGAATAAATATATTTAGTGCTAGGATTCATTGGTAGTAAGTTGGCATTCTCTATTAGAAAAGTTCTTTTTTTAAGTGACCATCTAAAGGCTACCCGTTTAAAACTCATCCAACTTTGTTGGAAATGAATACAATTTTATAAATTTTGAACAAGTCATCCCCATCATATGAGATGTATCTAGTTGTTGAAAAAACAACAATAATTAGGTTGTAAAACTATATTGATCTGAACTTTTGATTACTTCATATACAAAAACAACATGATCAATGAGATTACTGATTTTTATAACAACATATTTTCAAGGAGTAATGAGTCTGCATGGCCCAACTTCACTTTTCCCTTTGAGCTCTTTGCCGCTTTCTTCCACCCAAGAGCAAACTTCTTGCAATGGCGACACCTATGCAGCACAACATTTCAGTCAAAATATAATATGTGGTCATATATTTCAAAGACATACGCACACAGATAAATGGCTAGCGGTCTCATAGTGAGACGGGACCAAAATGTATTTATAATTGAAGTATTACTTTAATAACTATTTATCAGGCTTCAAAGCTGAAAAAATCAAACTCCCAATGTGCACACATATAAACTTGTGCACAATATAATCCTCGTTCATGAAAAAGCATATATTAGACTTCCTATTCATTTATAATAATTACATCTAGAGTCACCAATTTCACTTTTTGTTCACCTCAACTTAATTTTGTACATTCCATGTAAGGAAGTACAGATAAGATGCCTTTGAGCCAAATAGATAGTTTATGCTAGTTTAACATGGAAATTTAAGTCCTAGATGATGTTAGTACACAACTGGGGCAACTCTACAAAAGGAGATAACCAAACAACACATTATGAGATTCATAACTTTATAGTTCGCTGGGTCCATTAACTCAGGTGACATCAAAACTTTGGTAATTTCATTTAGGGTTAATAAGCACCGCTTTTTGTTGTTTTCATATCTAGAATGGAGTAATATATATTGAGTACATATTTGGAAATAAGTTTTTACGATAAATTCTGCAACACCAAGCTTTATGTACTCAGCATATATCCTAATACATATTTCAGATCTCTAAACTAATGTTAAATAAAACAGAAACCACATCATAACTTACTAACTTTGCTTCCAACTTAATTAATGAAAATAGGCATTTTCACTTTCCCTTGCCTATCAAATGCCACCGGCTTTCTCCCAAGACGAAAGGAAAAAAGGCAATTTCACTTTTCAGAGCTATAGACCCCGCGAAAAAATACTATGGTGGGTCCTGTTCCTGATAAGAAATATAGTAAAATAACCTTTCCAATCTTTCCTAGGATCCCGTGTCTAATAAGGATGCTCACTTCTTAAAATATCCTATATGTGGGTGGGAACAGGGGAAGAGGTCAAATTTATCCCGACAGGAGAAAGATAGGTTACACATATCCTATCTACTTAAAAAAATTGTCATCTTTGAAGTTAAATCTGTCTAAAGTGCATATAAGCCCCCAAAAGAAATCGTCTACAATGGATGTAGATACGATATGTCAATGAACTACAACTAATTGAGCACACAATTTGAAGATTATATGCATTAAATACAAAGCGTCATAAACAGAGATAAAATCAACCATTTACAGTATGTACGTGGAGAATACCAAGTGTTTTTATTAAATATATAGCATGTATTTCTAACATTAACAGAAATAAACAATCATCAAGTGCTCTATGATATAAGTTTAGCTAATTTAATTAAGAACATATATGGTTAGGAAAAAGAGAAAACTATTTTTTATATTGAATATTTTTTCCTAAAGTAAACTATAAAATATGTCAATTTCCTTTAAAGATCATGAATATATGCATATTGATATACTGTTAATAACTCAGTAGATGTTCTAAAGGTTCACTATTAAAA